TACTAAACATAATTTTCTAATTAGATTCTTTTGCACAAGCGTTAAGAAATGTCATAAATGATTTGTAGTCAACTGAAATGGTATTTATACCGATATTCGCAAAAAGCCGTTGTTGATAAGGGCGGGTGCATAATTGAATGGTAGCACGTAATTGCCGTAGATTGCTGTGATACAGTCCAGTTATGTCACGTGTATAATAGTGTAGGATTACATTTTGTCATTATCTGAAGTAGGCAAGTGTATAAAATGCCTTAAACGTAATTAGCGAAATTGTCTGTTCTTAAAGAAATAAAATTACTAAATAATAGAAACGCACCTGGTATTGATGGAATAAGACCACAAGATTGAAAAGTAATTGACGCAGAAATTGCAGAAGTAATAGATCATTTAATCAATACTTCAATAAAGCAGGCTAAATACCCAAATGAACTCAAGACCGGAATAGTTAGACCGATTTATAAAAAAGGAAGAAATGATGAATGCGTCAACTACTGACCAATAACTATTCTTCCCACTGTAGACAAAATAGTGGAAAAAACTGTATCTACACAAATTCTTAGTTTTTTTATAAAAAAAACAATGTTATCACTGACAAATAATATGGATTCCAGAGCGGAAAAAGTACCACACAATTGCTGTCTAAATTTACCGACAGTGTTAACAAGCATCTTGATAACAGGGAACACGTTCTAGTCGTATTTATTGATTATAGTAAAGCCTTCGATACACTAAAACACGATATACTTATTGACAAGCTAAACGAATGTGGTATGAGGGGTCCACTTAGTGCATATAGGTCATATGTTGTGAAAGTATCCGATGACGTCAGCAGACGGGTTAAGGTATTAGATGGTACTGTTCAAGGATCTGTGCTTGGCCCATTACTCTATATTACTTATGTAAATGACGCAGTCAACGTACTAAACAACTGAAATATATCAATTTGCTGATGATACATGTATCTTAGTTGCTAACAAAGACCTAGACATTGCCTTATCTCATTTGCAAAGAGATTTCACCCTCTTGTCAAAGTGGTCTCCTGATGCGGGTCTTGTGCTTAATAGTAATAAAACGAAAATGATGTACATAAGTTCTAGAACCCAATAAAATATAATTTAAAACTTATTGCGCATAATCACAAGTGCCTTCATACTGAACAGCGAAATTGCTCTTGTAGTCCGATTGAACTCGTCCGTAAGCAAAAGTATCTAGGTGTAATAATAGATGACAGATTTAAATGGACTGAGCATGTGTATAATACCAATATATGATCAGGTAAAGTTTCTACTACTAGCAGAAAATTATTTCAATAAAAACCTACAAGTTATCAGGCACCATGACAGAAATATACGCAGCGCTTCTAACGTTACCTTAAAGGTCCCACGTTTTAACAATCTTTACGGGAAACAACAACTAAAGTATCAAATATCAAAACTTATAAACGACCTGTCTAGAGCAGGTCGTTTATGAGTTAGAACTCTCAAACAAAAAAATAATGAAATAAACATTAAAAATAAGTTAAAGAAGCATTTCTTAAATTTATTACAAAAATATCATTAATAGAATATCATGTACATAATTATAGTTTATATACACACATGTGAATAGAATTATAGATTATGTGTTATGTGTATGTGAATGTACGTGTGTATGGTATACACATGATATTATTAATAAAAATGTACTATTGAATCAAGTGTAAGAAATCCGCCCGTGTGTCTGCACAATTTAGCCATAACACATGCACTCGCTATCTCTCGGCGTGTCGATCGGCCAGGGCAGGTAGAATCCAACGCCATCATTGTATTTTACCCTACAATTCAATTAACAGTGTTTGCTGAGCTAATAATACATTGGATTACTTTATAACTTAAGTTAAATGTAATGTGTATTTGTACTAGATGACTTTTTCTGTAATAGCTCATTTTGCCATTTATGGATTGTCAATTCTTTTTGAGGCGTATATTTAGATTTTTCACGTCATACTTCGATGTAAATTGAATTTCGTTTCCAGATAAAGTAAATTGGAAGTTAACAAGGCCTACTTGGTTAACCGTTCTTTCACCCGCTGATAATGCAATGAACGACACTCGCTACTCACTACATAGGTAGAAAGAAAAAAGATATTAAACAAAACCTTGCTAAGAAGAAAAAGTCATTGCTAACTGATACCTGCACTGTTGACCTTTTTAAGGCCTCTGACTACTTTATGCGCGTCGTCAATCAAATACGAGACTAAAAACAGAGTTCAATCAAAACGTTTGCTAATTAGATGACCGGTTTTTAGAGAAGAGCATTCAAAACCTGATTCATTGCAAAATATAAATTTGCCTAATAATTATATGTAATTTTCAAACTAGTTTCCCATCAAATATACTAAAAATATACACAACATTATCCGCATGAAACAAATTCAAATTAATTATCTGCATATCGCAACGTATTTCACTAAAACAACTACCAGTTCCTTAACGATATGTAAATATTTTTTGCTCGCAAAACAAACATAAAAAGAAAAACCACGAGCGTTTGGTTAGACGCTACGTATGATACACCGGTTAAGCTACGTGCATGATAAAACCACTGCGCGATAAACTCAAGACAATGTGGATATCGTCTGTTTAAAGGTAAAACCACATTAGTGACTTTTCCACAAAAAATCTTTAATTTACATAGCTGTAGCATGAAAAATCACTATCCTTCTGCACGTGAAACTCACTCAATAACAAAAAAGCCATGAACTTAATAAGAGTTTTATCTGCAGAAAGATGGTGAATTTCTTACAACTGGTACATAACTTGGAGAATTTTTGTGGAAAATGTCATTTACGTGGTTTTACCTTTAAGCAGACGATATATACTAGACAATCTTTGTTGACAACAGGATTTTGTTAATGCAGGCCCGTAAATGTAAGGCTGACTAGTAAAATCATAATGCACTTGTGTTATTTAGTTATGGTATCTTTACAAATGAAAATCTCGGTTATACATGTAAAGCAGATTACCTACGCAGATTAACAACTTTGTTATTTGGTTATTATCTTATTTACCACGAAGTTTAAACGTTAACTAACGAAAGAAGTGTCTAGTTTCCTGTGTGCATCATTAAGCCAGTAAAAGATAAAATTATATATATGTATGTAATGGGTGATAACATATTCCTACTACGCATTTAACTACTCTATTTTGCAACACCTTAACCCGTCACTTTATAGCAAATCCACCTTTATAGAAATATTCACCTTTATAGAAATATTTGTGTTTTTAGTGAAGGTGAAAACTGTAGCGTGTGTACACCATATTATCAGCTTTTACTTACTGAAATGTACGTGTCTTCTAGTTCTAACACACACTTTTAAACAGAAACATTTAAAATACATCAATAAGTATGAGACCTATAATCGTAACGTAACAAAATGTCTCATGAACAATGTGTTCGCTTGATGAAACTTGTTAAATAAATTACCTACCTAGTCAACGTCGTCTTTCTCAGATTTTTTCTGTTCAAATACCTTGCTTAATTCTATAAGCGGTAATTGCAAATTACCATCCAATATTAATTATAATAACCTACCAAAACTCGTTGTGAAGCCTCGTTGACACGGTACACTTGTTGTCAGGTACACGAGGACAAAAACTGAAGGAGACGAGTTGAAGTTTTTGCACACTAGCGGTAACGATGGTTTGCGGCGCATTTATGTTTGTTTGTGAAGCTTTTGATGAAAACTATACTTATCAATCTTTATTGATAAGTTACTTACCTTTAGTAATTTTTCAATCCAGATCCCCCAAAATTTTATGCTCGCGGTACGTAGTTTTTGTTGATTGCGTCTGTCGGCGCACAAAATTTGATCAAGCCGCTATTGTATTGTACATGCATATTATATGTTTGATGGAATGATTTTGTATAGGTACGCATGAGAGTATGACGAAAGTACCTGTCGAGTAATTTTCCTTCCGTCAAAATGTACTTCGTTACCAGTCTGTATTTACCCAAGCATTTGACCGAGTACCCGCAGTAACTATAGTAGGTACATCATGTGTGTAAGTGTTTAAAGATGTTGAAGTTCGGTAATTATGCAATACGTGTACTAAACGTAGGCGTAGAATATTAATACCTTGTAATGCTCTCACGGAGACGAGTTACAAGGAAAGTCGTTCGCAATGCCGTTAGTTGACTTCGATTAAACTTTATAATGAAACCTGTATTTTTCATGTAGAGTATTGAGTGCGTGTATTATTCGCGTGAGGTGTATTATTAGCACCAGTAATAGTTGTAGGTGACCGTGTTAGTGTATTGACGCATGTTGTCATTGCAATCTTTGGGCCAGCTAGCTTGGGCATCAAACATTTGTCATTAAAGAAGACCTGTGTCCACTAGTGACTTCACAGACCCTCCAAGGGTTATCGTATATAAAATAATTAATTTTAATTTATGGACTTCGATATACATGGTGGCCAGAGAGGCATATGACAGTTTTAGAAACAGACATCTGTCTGTATACCCTCTTTCCCGCTGGCTAATTAACCCATAACCGCATACCGTGGTAACATACCTGTGATAATATAGTGATAATCATAGTCAATCTAGAAAGATTTAATTGACGCCTTCATAGTACTCTGGGTGTTAGGTACTTCAGCGCAAACCTCTAAGCGGTTGTGGTACTACCTAACACCCTCTTTGTTATTGATACGAAGATCGAATTTAAGGAGAAAATTTTCTTCGATCCTATAGGCTCGATCTAATGACTCTTTCCTCAACTTGGCTACTGCTTTTACCTACTACTACGGACTGAGCCAGCGGAACTTAAGAATTTCTCCGTGCTTGTTATCCTCCTTTACTTTTCAAGATGACTATGTTTTAAGTTACTAGCCTCGTTTTTATAATTATTTATTAACAATTTTATTTTACACCTGACATATGGTTATATTGCTCATTATGAGCGTCGTTGTTGCATGAAATTTGTTGCCTTTCAGTTCAACCTTCATTATATTATTGAACTGTGGCCGAGTTGTTACTTTAGTTGCTTACAATTTGTTGTACTGGACGTTACAGTTTAATGTTGACAAAAATCAAATATTTAGTGGGTGTTGTTTAGAAATCAAATAAGAGGTGAGATCGCAAAAGAATACATATTATTTTATTACCTGGTGTTATAGTATTGATTGGTGTTTGATTAAAATAATATCGTGGATTTATAGGTTAAATTTTTGAGTATATAATAATGTATTAGTGTTTTAAATGTATATAAAATTGGAAATGAAATATTTTTTCGTATCTAAATCGCGTATAATAAAAAAATTCGGGACCTTTTAATTTAATTTCATGTGTAACCATCGCGAAAACCTAAGTTGGCGACATGTATAGAAAATTATTTATAATCTGGGAACACCAAGACCTTGCACTCTTATAATTACGATTTTTTGAGCCTGTGAATTTTGAAACTATTAAACACAAAAGTGACTAACCACGGCCCTAAGTATGTTAGTTTCTAGATCTTGTCTGCAAAATGTCATTGACTTTGATTACATAGTTAGTGTCTAAAATAAAACTTTATTTGTATGTAGCGCTCGCTGAACTATCCTCTTAACCGTTGAGGTGTGTTGGGGTTTAAAACCGATAGCCTCACTTTCCCCGTCAAGACATTGAAAAATTGACGTGGACGTGGACAAACCGTGATGAATTTGTAATTTAAGGTTCTTTTATAATGACCATTTGATTATACAGTAATAACTTTTGTTTTTTTTTATTACATAATACTATACAATGTGTTTTTAATACAATGTGGACCGAAGAATGGGAATTATAGGAGGATAAATTTCGTATTTTTTTCTCTGATAAAGTATACATTGTCTCCATTAAATCTCTTAATTTAAATGTTAACATTTCTGAATGCTTAGGGTACTCAGTTCGGTGGTAGGCATTATGTTTTTTTTTAAATATAACAAGTGTTACATCTCACCTATCTATTTTGTTTTGCTTACATAATTCTTTCAAAGAAAATGAAATTTTATTTTATATTTGTAGGGTACAATTGAATATGAGCAATCTAACACATCTTTTTTGATACTAAATTTAATTTTCTTTTACAATAAATTATTATTTGTTATATTACATTTACAAGTAGCGCCTATATCTTATATATCCTACTCCTGTGTATAATATGTATAGCAATTTTATAAACATTGGGACAGATAGGGTGGCATGGAGTCCATATTGTTTTGCATCGGCGGCGTTTGTTTGTTGTGCAGGTAGGTACATATATAATATCTCTCTACGATTAATATGAGTTGATATCAAGGGGGTCGGTTATGAAATGTTCTACTATAGACTTTAAATCATACATTTCTTCAGTTTTGTTACATTCCTAAATACCAATACCAACTTTAATTATTTCTTGCAGTAAAATTCACGGATTTTATAGTGATCATAAAATTGTAGGTAAGTCATATACCAGTATGCAACGCATTCGTTGGAATTTATAGCGTTTCGTAGTGCTTCATATAGTTATGGTGTATATTTCCACTGATATAGAGGGCTGATTGTCTAAACACTAGTGTTCGACTCGTAAGCGAGTATTTTTTGTTCTCGGCATAATAGAAAACATATAACATGTAAGCTTTTGAAATTTATTTGATCCTTCACGGTACTTAAATAAAAACCGCCATAAAGTTGCCTGCTTATCGGTATTTTACAGGATATGTCACGGAGAGTGTGCGATGGAATTACACGATTTAATTCCGCCTTCCCCTTTCCATCACTGGGGGACTAGGCGTAGGCTTGGGTTCCACCCCTACGTTGTGGATATTCTAAAGATTCGCACGAAGTGTAACGCTTCCACATTTATATGGCGAACGGCTATGGAGTGGAATTCCCTGCAGACTTGTTCCCTGAACTTTATAACTTGTGCCTTTTTAAGGCGAGAGCGAATAGGCATTATTTAGGCGTGCATGCTCTATCCTCGACCTCATCGTCACTTTCCATTAGGTGAGACGGCGGTGAAATGCGCACTTATATTTTATAAAAAAAACCTCGATTGGAAAAAGTGATGTTCAGGTCTATATAATGATGCAATGTCATGTGTGATTGACCCCTACCCACAATTAGCTTGCGGTGGTAGACTAAGGCTGAGATTTATTAAACGAAGCTTGACTTTTACTAAGCAAAAATAGCGAGATAAGCAAGATTTTCTTACTTACAAAACGAAATTTGCTTAAGGCGAGGTATTAGGACCAAAGCCTGAATTTGAGGAGGTGAGGTGTTGGGGGGCCTTCCTCGCGTCCCGCAATCCGCGCGCTTAAAATTAATAATTAGGAATGAAATAAGAACAGGCGGAGCAAATTTCATACCGATCCAACGTTGACAAGCGCTCGAAGGCCTCTGATGGGGCAGCAAGCGCCGCTTTTTTACTTGAACTCTCCTAAACTTTTTTTTGTTCACAGATTGAAAAGTGCAGTCTCGAAGATGGCAAGACCAGTATTGCAGACGGGTTCATCCGCGGCCGTTTCTAGTCATAGAATAAGCATGAGTTTCATTTGCCTCGTCACTATGATTTTATTAGGTTAGTATTTTTTAGTTATTATTTATTTTTTAAAACACTGAATCAGTAATAAAAAAAAGTCCACATTTATATGGCGTACGGCATTGGAGTACAATTCCCTGCCTGTAGACTTATTTCCTGAACTCTGTAACGTGGGCCTTTTCAAGGACAGAGTGAATAAATATAATATATGTGTGCTCGATTCATCGTCGACCTCATTGTCAGTTTCCATCATGTCAAATTCGCACTTATTTTATTAATAAAAAAATATTAAATTTATTGCACAGTCGCTCACTGTAACTTTTATTTATTTATTTATTGGCTCACCAACAGCTTAACATACTTAACAAATACATAATAATATTAATACCGGACTAGTATGTCAGCCAATTACATCCGAACACATCATTAACGTAATCAATTAAAAACAACAAAATTCAAATAATAAACTATTTATACACTATTCTATTACAAATATACATTTGATTCCTATTGTTCACATTAAATTTTAAATAAAAATTATACATTAGAACAAAATTGAAAGATACAAAAAAAAATGAATGCAATTCTATGCCATTTAGAGGCCATGAGAACCATAGTGGCCTAACTCAATTTTTTACAATATTGAGTTTATGATTTTTTCCAGTTCAAATTAATCATTTTGATAGAACCAGAAAGGCCTAAAAGTGATACAACGAATTTTCACTAGATGGCAGCATAATCATTGTTATGGTTTTTAGTCTGTGATCTAAATTTGAGGTGCCATACTGGCTTAAGTAAGATAGGCCACTATGGCTTGTCCATTGAATTAGGCCACTATGGTTCTCATGGCCTCTTATATAACAACGGTCCAAAATCCGAAGTGTAAATCTGAATATGCTGTTGATTGTATATTTATTTATTTGGTATTATAAAAAAAAAATATCTTCATTTACTTGAAATAATTTTGGAAAATTTAATGTTGCAGGACTTCCAATTGCACATTCCCAGCGTGAACAGACACCGCGATTCTACGTCGAGAATAACGTCTTTAATATTTTAGTGGACGCTACCCAACTTTTCCATTTAATGCAAGTGTAAGTACACATTTTTTATGCTACTTGAATCAAAACGAGGTATTACTTACTAATTTATTACTTATTATGGTAGGTCAATGTTATTATGTTACACTTTTTGACAGTTAATGTCTTTCTGGTCGTGTAATATTGTATTGTATAATACGATATTTGTTAAGTAAGTAACAATAAATTTCTCTCTAACCATACACGCTCACTACAGGATGCTCTAGTAACAAAAAAATTTTATACCCCCGCCATCTAGCGAACATTTTGCGCAACATAAAAATAGTACAATCATCAAGCCAAATTTAGGTGTATTGTAAGTACTCAAAAAACAACTCTAATATTAATGTACAACTTGTACCTTAATTGCAGTGGCGAATTTAACACAACTTTAGAAGTGACGAGCAAAGTACAATATCCTGATTTAGTGCAGCTAGTGCCCTCTAGTGTCACAATACCGAAGTCGGAAAATCCCAATGCAAGCGCAGTGTTGTCGTATGAAATATCCGCATATGCAAAGAGCCCAGGGCATACTTATGTTACTTTTGATGCCACACCTACTGGATTTGTTGAGTGAGTACTCCACTTTCTACTATTTCCTAAACAATAGTTCCTTAAACTACTTAATCTACTGATATAGTGCGGCATTAACACTACTTACTCTCACCATTAGTATTACTTACTGATTATACTAGGGTTGGGTGCCTAATTTGGGCTCCAGTCTCGCACAATACATTATTCTAAGCTTGTGTAATAGTATGTATGTATCTCTAGAAATAGAAATCATTTATTTCTTGAACAAACTCTACTATAATGTTCCTTTGTATTGTGTTGTAGAGATTAAATAAAGATAATAATTATTATTTATTTTTTTATTTTTACAATACCAAGTGACGGGACGGTGAAGTAGCGCGCTTGGTGGTAATCGACACCAGTAATCCATAACAGTTGCATTGCCACTCAAGCTTTCAATCGCACAGATCTTAGGAGCACTGCTATTGCGCCTGTCACCCTGAGTCATAAGTTGACAAGTCCCATGTGCCTGTAATTTCACCGGCACTCTTATCCTTCCAAACCAGAACGCAGTAATGCTTATATTACTGCTTGGCGGCAGAAATGGTAACGTGAAAGTGCTTCCCTGAACGAATTCTTTCGCAAGGAGCTTTACTGCAGCTATTATTTTTACGTTACGCGAAGCTTTTGTTTAATATTTACAATTTAAGTCATGTAAAATTGACGTATTGAATTTATTTGATTATTACTGGCTACTAAAAAAAAACGAAATTTGATTTATAAATAGTATGCCATACCATCTGTACATCGATCGAGACTTAACAATTACCTGTTGTTTTGAACATAATTTATAACAGTACCTGTTTCTTTTCAGCATGGAACAAGTATTTCTCCGTATAACAGTGATGCATTCGCGTATCATTCTAATAATCTCAGAAATCATGGGTTGGGTTTACTTTATAGCCTGGTCGGTCTCGTTCTACCCTCAGATCTATATAAACTTCAAACGGAAGAGCGTCGTTGGACTTAATTTTGACTTCTTGGCACTGAACATCATGGGTTTCACTTTGTATTCTGTGTTCAATTGCGGATTGTTTTTCTCTAAGGCAATTCAGGTAAGGAACTTGATTGATCGGAAGTTATTTTTCTGAAGTCATTCACAATTATCATATCAAAATTCCTTCAATCTGTCTGAACTTGAACTAGCGCCTGTTGGTACCATTCTTACCGACTGAGCTATAGATCAAGACTGTAGATCTTGGGAATGTCATTGAAGCGAATGTAAAGAATTTCATCTGTATTAGGCGTGCTAGTGAAGTACTATATGACTAATATTTAGATAATCATTGTTATGGGAAGTTAAGATTTTATTCTTACGAACAATGGGTATTAAATGATTTCCGGACCAGTTTTCCAAAAAAAGTTGTTATAACTTTACGCCATTTGAATTTTTTTTTCTAGAAATAGCTAGTTACTCTGAGACAAGATTGTAGCTAGAGACATAAACCATGTTATTGATAAAGTGCTCTATAAACTTTTCAAGTAATTAAATTATATGAAATGCTTTCCAGGCCGAGTACTTCGAAAGACATCCTCGAAGTCTTAACCCAGTACAATTGAACGACGTTTTCTTCTCTCTCCATGCTGCCTTCGCTACCATCGTCACTATTGCACAATGCTTTATCTACGAGGTAAATCAATAAGTCTTTGATAAATATTAATTCCACGGATCAGGATATGTAACGGAAAAAAATTTAATCTCATTTGTCCACGTAGCTTAGTCCACTGTGTGATTTCAGAAATAAAAATGAACGTAGACGTATGAAGGAAAAGTATGGTTATTGTTTATACAATATTCATTCAGCTTGCTACCAACGCCTCCTACGTAAATAAAGATTTATAAAATTCAGGTTACAAATACAGCACGAAAAAGCGTAGATCAGTGGCAGGATTTTGAGTCATCACTTGGAATGCAGTAGGAAAAATTGAAGTGTTCTTTTTTTTAAGGTGAAATTTATTGAATATCAGGATATGTTTTACCAACATGATATTGAATAATTTTTTTGTGAAATTACACCACTAGTTTGTTATAATTAAATTATTATTAATTCAAAAGTCAAACGCTAAAAATTCCTTCGATTCGGCTGGTTCGAATCCAGAAACCCTACGCTCTCCCAACTGAATTACGGAACGAACTAGCAGACTACGAATTTTTCTATGTGTTTATTGCAGATCTTTGTTTTTGGTTTTTAACGATTTTTTTGACCTAGCGCCATCTGGGAGAAATCTATGAAATTAAAATTTATTACTTTCCAGCGCGAGGACCAAAGAGTGTCAATGGTAGGACGAGGTATTCTAACAGTATTCGGTGGCATCGTGATCGTGACGGCCAGTCTTGGAGCCGCTGACAAGCTCGAATGGCTCGACTTCATTGGTTACTGCAGCTACATCAAACTGTGCATCACACTCATCAAGTATGTGCCACAGGTAAGGGAAAAAATATTGTTTTACTCAAAAGTCAGCACTTTTCTCTTCACTGTCTGCAATTTAAGGAAGTTTATGGGATGAAATAGTAATAATTAAACAATATATTATGACAATAATAATGATAGGCAAAGCAGGAAGACGAATATTTTTGATCTTTTTATGTTTGTCTATAAAGTTGATGATTACCCAGCTCAAAGTGCAAGTTAGATTTTGTCTTTAATTAGTCATGCATTTAGCCAAAAAGACGTATAACATGTATTCAATGTATCAACTGATACTTAACCATAAAATATTACATATGTACGAGTTTGGCACACGGAAAATAAAATGGGTCGTATAAAATAATGACGACTTCGATGGCCTAGCGGTTCGCACTGTGGGAGTCGGATGATGACGTCTCTGGTTCGATTCCCGGGATGATTAATTTGGGAAATAAACTTTTCTAAATTAATTCTAGTATGGGTGTTCTGAGGTAGTGTAAAACACACTCCCCTAAAAAATTTACGAAATGTCGCTTAGGCCTTTTACAAACTACCGATGGAACCATGCGACTAATATTCTGTACTATTACAGAGAATTCTCTAGTTGGAGACCGTGTCATTGGTGTGATTTATTATTACAATATGTTTCTTTAACACATGGTTGTCATCAAGTGTACATCATGATCTATACATTCACCACGTTCCTAACTTGATTCCAGGCCTACATGAACTACAAACGCAAATCCACGGTAGGTTGGTCCATCGGTAACATCTTCCTGGACTTCACGGGTGGTCTCCTATCAATTCTCCAAATGATGCTCAATGCCTACAATTATCAAGACTGGGTATCTTTCTTTGGTGACGCAACGAAATTCGGCCTGGGATTGTTCAGTTTGATATTTGACATCTTCTTCATGCTACAACACTATGTCTTCTACAGGTACGTGGATTATAACTGTTTTAGATAAGGAGTTGTCATGTAATAAATCTGAGGAAGATTTTGGTTAGTTTAGGGTGGTCTCAGATCAGCTAGTATGTACGAATCTTAGTACTACTTAATACATCTTAAAATCTATCGTTGCCTCATACTTTATTATGATAAATCCTTTATGAGTTAGATCACTGAACCATTTAATGTGTTGTGCTGGCTGGTTTGAATACATCTTCGTAACGATAGATTGTTTTGTTTCGGTTTTATTTTTCGACGTGGAAAATATTAGGCTACCTTTTTCTTTTCGGATTTTCGTTTGTGGGATTTTGTGCTTGCTTCCTATATTGCACGCTTGAAATTTATAAATCTGAATTGACCTCACTGGGACTTTTTCGCATTTTTTTTTAATATGTTGAATCTATTTACATACAGTTTTGGGTTATTTTATGAAACGAATACTTACTAACTATTTATATGAATCTTATTTTAGAAAATTCAAACCAGTGGTAAGTTTATTTTCAAATTGAACTGATTTTTAGGAAGTATTAAATCTTCCTCCAAAATGTTTAATAACATGACAACTCTTATTTATTTTACAATGCTTACTAACATCGAGAACGTGGACTGAGAGCAAATATTATTTTGAGAAAAAATTAAATAAAAATGTAATTTAGTAATTTAAATTATCAAAAGAAAGTCCATGTTCGGCCTTGACGCAGGTGAAGGGATATCTAACACAGCCATTTTTCAATTTCTCCTCTAACACTGCACTATACTAACTTTTAACTTTCCTTGTCTGTGTTAACTAACAAAAAAAGTAGAAGATGGAACTTCGACGGAATTGAAGACACAAATGAAGATTTTTATTTGTAGAAAAATCTATCGTAGACCAAAGCTGATTTAGTCGAGTATACAGTATAATAAATACTATTTATTGTCAATTAGAAAATAAAATAGTGATACGACTCGAAGACAATACAGTAAACTAAGCCATTAATCTACAGCAGAAGGTCATAAAAAAGCGGTGTATTAAAGAAATTGTGGATGTGATGCGAACACAAATTTGTCTGAATACGTTTTTCCAAGTATTCACCATACTTGGAAAAACATCTTGATTTATTGAAATAAGACAAAGACTCGTTGGAGACATTTGTACACTTGACGACTCCTTTATCGCCACTGTCTACGTAGGTCATGTAGTTTGTATGGAATGGGACTACATTAAGGTCTAAACAACTGGCTATGTAAACATGAAGATGGCGGCTAAAAATGTTTTGATTGTGAATCAGATGTAAACTAATCACTTAACCACAGAGTCTCAGGATGTTAATTTATCGATTATGTAGAAAAGAATCACATAAGAGAACAAAGAAAGGTTCGCGAAGAATAATACCGCTGTTGTAGTAAAAAAAATAGTAGATTAGGAACCAGAAAGCAGCACGTGAAAATGCTTTGATAAGCGCACAGCAGCGTTCGCAAGCCAAGTCCTTAAGAATTTTTGCTCAATCTACTAAATGAGCAATGATTAAAAATTAATGAGTTGTAGAGAATGGAATGTAGCTGGAGAAAGAAACGAGTAAAGAGATATGTGTAAACCAATCACACTGAACCTAGGAATCATTATGTTTACAGAGAAATTAAGTTATGACATCTATAAGCAGCGGAAAATATATAAGCCTAAATAACGAATGGAATCAAAGAAAAATACAACGGAAATATTGCAAATATTGAAGGAAAAGTATCTTGTGCATATATTGGATTACTGCGTTTATTACATTGGAATGTGACTAAAAGACACTCGACACCTACCGACACCATAAAATATTGTTTGTAATTTTATGATCCTTTGTAGATAAAGTAAACACACTGGAACCATATTCTTTAAGTGTTTTGACAGCTTTCATAAATAATAAGTTTGAAATGTTACATTCAGGGTTATTACGAACAACCTCACAGTACTATATTTCTAACATCATAAACAACAATTATGTTCCAGAACTTTTAATAAAGTCAAAGATTTTACTTTCGTGCAAAAATAAAAATGTTTAAATAGATCGCTGGAAACGGTGAGAGATAACTCTGCGCGGTAATAAAAGAAATCGCTACCGTAAATACTAGTTGGGCGCAAAACGCAGGAACGGGGTAGTGGTCATCAAGTCGTGGTGAGGGGCTTGCACGTTTGAACTTATTACTTTACTATAGATCTAAAAAGTGTCAGATACAAAAAGTAGCAGATTATTTTAAATAAATGTTTTATGTTTTGTAAAAAGTTACGGAACAAAAGTTGTTGTTTATGATGAATAATATGGTACTGCAAGGTTATTAATAATTTACAAATAACCCTGTACTTTTCCTCGCATTCCTTTCGATTGCAAGCTATGTAGTATGGCGAAATATTTTTTCTAAAGTAATATATATTTAAAATTTTCATCCGTTTATTAAGGATGTCAAAAATTACAAACAATATTTCAAAACATGGGAACAAATCATTCGGACATCGCTTAGCTTTTTGGCCACCATACGCTCAACGTGAACTCGACGTAAAAAGGGGAATGTTTTATCCAGAGATAAAGAAAAAAATATTTGATTAATATTTTCAGAGATGGCAAGAATTTAGTGAGTGACAGTAGTGAGGAGGAACTTAACATTTTGACTACGAAAAGTGTTGACGGGAGAGAGTACTTTTTGGTCATCGATAACTGGTATGTATCTGTTACAAAGGGTACTGCAAAAACCCGAAGGTTTGTCTTGTTACCTTTTCTATGGTTAACTTTTTTGTGATGTTTTGCATTTCTTGAATTAAGTTTCGTTAATTTAGTTATATTTTTATAATAACTGCTTAACGTTAGACGAAAAATTCACTGCCCCGGTGAAATAATTAATTACAATTTCGTCTTGTCTTACATATTTTTTTATCGATTTTTGAGGTGGCGGTCTTTATTTTAACAAAGTGCTTAGTTCAAAAATCGATAGCAATATTAAATATTTAATGAACTGTGCTAGGCTTTGGGATAATTGGATCATCAGTTACCCCAAAATATTTATTTTAGTATTAAATGGATACTAGTTAGAACATATTAGACATTTTGAGCACTATTTGAATGACGTAAGGTGCAATTTTCAATAAAGATATCTTTAAGTGTGATCAATCTATCTTTGGGTGAGCGTATTATTCCCGAGTTTGCTAATGATTATTGATTTTTCACAGACTATGAAATTGCACTTTTTCTGTAAATATTTACATTAATTGAATATCTGGGACTGATTTATTTTTAAATTATTTTAGGCATGCCGATCAAAAGAAGTATGATTTGGAAGGGAAGGCGTGAACGACTCAGCACTTAAGACGTCAATTAACATTTGGCAACCAGAAGTATTGAAAATTCCGTCTACGGGATCTGTTTACAATTTCGTTATACATCTTACACTTTTTGCCATCGAATTTTTTTAGCGAAATATTTTTTTTTTGTATTTAAATAGTATTACTATTTAACGCGCTTATCCTAATTTTGATCTTATCTTTTTTTCCATTATACAAAACAAAATAAGTAGACATCCAATGTTGTAGGATTCTTAATTAGAGATAACAAACTTATATCACTTTGAAAAATAATGGTGCGTGGTTTGGTTAATTTCTTAATGAATTCACTAATGGTTAATTTCTTAATGAATTCATTAATGGTTAATTTCTTTAATGAATTCACTAAAACGGAAAAATGAAAAAGAAACGTTTGAGATTTTTTATTATAAATCTGCTAAACAACATTTAATTTACCTTTTAATCTCTACATACTTTTATATTTTAATCAAAAATATTTTTTTTTGTAAATTAATGTAGCTCAGTTGGCAGAGATATAGCCACATTGAGGCAAGAATCGATGATTCGAGTCCAGTCGAATCGAATGGTATTCTTGTTTGGGTTTATTCGACATTTGTTCAATAATAATAACCAGAGGAGAATTTTTACAAAAAAAAACAGGTGCATATCATGGTAGTAATTTTTATCAATAAAACTAATTAATTTTATCAATGAAAATAGTAATAAGTACTTACAAATTATTGAAAATATAACAATTTACTTTGATGACCAAAAGTCTTTAGACAACACTATTTTTATTTCATCAAACAGCTGGCAACCCATTAAACGTCAGTTTGTTATTTCTAATAAAATATCCGACTGCAAGCAACCTACTAAATTATTTTAAACTGAATAATATCCTTCTATTTTATTTATTAATTCTTTCCATGACTCATCTACGTGGGATGTAATTTTGCTAATTGTTATATAATTTTTTTTGTTACAAAATATTCGAAACTTCTGAATCGATTACGTAGTCTATAACTTCTAACAAAAACTTTCGTATGTACAAAATGCATCTCCATGTTGTGTTGTACTATAATTTACCTTTAAGGTTTAGTTTATGGAACTTATTTTATAAGTTCGTTATTTTGCCATAATGATAATTCTATTATTTGCTCAAGTCATTACCCCCTGAATATGTTATTTAACATCCGAATCTTACTTTTTCTGCTTTCTTAATATTTCTACTTAATATCGTTTTTAAAGAAAGTTGTGTATTTTATATAATTTCAAATCTTGGCACCGCATTGCTATGCAGCCAAAATGATCTTCTGTTAATGTTTACAAAAAAATATTTAATGAAACTACTGTATTGTGTATCCATTTTGTCATGTTTATAAAAAGATTATGAATTTATGACAAAGTTGTAATTGTTTCGGTAATCTGTGATTCGTAACACATTTTATATTAAAATGTGCTATTCGCATTCTTGCATTTTTGATTTACAAACTTCACCATTATATATTGTCAATCATATACCTGCTGTATTATATGTAATGTGTAATTTATATTTTCCCTTTTCCGACTCCTCTCGCTATTTGTAAGTGTTTTTTGCATTTAATTTTACAATATATTTTTCAACACCTTAAATGAATATTATCTATTTATGTAATAATATTTTGCTAACATCAGCGAATTAATATTTCGTCATATAATAACAAAAATCAAACAGATTACTTTAATATTAACCTCACCAAATATGCAATTTATTTTATTTACAAAAAGTTTTTTGTTTCGACTGTAATGTCGTAGTAATTGTCTTTTTAGTACATAATAAACGAATGTTGGTCTTGCTGTGTTTTCTTTCCCTAAACTCAATTGTTTTAACCGTGATTAGTGTCATCGTAAAAAAGTAACTGTTCTGCTATAAGTAAATAAAGCATTAAGGTAAAAGTAATTTTTTACAAGTTAACAGAGACCACGGTATGTTATGAGAATCCTATGGTACACACATTGTAGTATAGATACTGAATGGTATAAGTTGCGATCCATAAGCAAATTATAAACAAAAACTCGGTCTATGAAATATATAAAGAAGGAGACTATACTCTAGTTTCCTTCCGAAAGGAAGAGAAAATAAATATTTTGTCCGTTCAAACTTGCTTTGTAAAGGCGCCTAAAGTAGACGCTTTTTACGCTTTTTGACGCTAATTTTTAGGGCACTAATTGTGACTGCAAAAATGGCGTACAAATGTCACGATAGCGGCGTTGCAACTGTGTTTTTAAATATTGTATGAGAATCAGTAGTGGCGCGGCTGCACCGCCACAGACTCAGTGGCGCCACTGCAGCGCTTCCATAAAGTGCCAGACACACCGCCAGCGAAGCGAAGCTTATTTAGTTGCAGCTCACGTAGCCGCGGCATGTTTCCATACATCTGTTCACACTGCAAACTAAGGTAACGTAAAGAACTAAGGTCGCATAGTTGGTTGCATGCAGTTACGTGAACTAAGCTAACTTAGCTTCCCACCCTGTGTGGGCGCTTCGTTTAGGCGCCCTCAAATTAGTTCGAGAGCGCCCTTAAGACGCTGACAAGGGTCGATGACCTTGAGCGATAACGCGCCTACTATAATTTCCAATAAGGTGGCGCCATACGCCCCGATGCGGTAAGAGTGTGGTAGTTGACCTTCCGCTTGATTTAACATAATATTGATTGCCGCTAACAGATGGCGTTGTACTTAAAACACACACATGCTATCAAACCAAAAAATATCAAAGTATATTAGAATTGGACATGTTATGCAAACAAGAAACAACCCACACCTCGAGTGAAATTGAGTTATGTATTTAGGTAGAACACCAGACGTGTCCTTTACCCGCTCACAAAAGATCGTGGCAACATACCAAGCCAAAACGGAGAAAATAAAAGTCCTTCGGGGTACCAACCCTAAATAAGTAACTTTTTAATAGCTAAAAAGAACCTTGCTGCTTAACTTCATGTAATGTCTTTTTTAAAATATACTAAACCGATCCATGTCACATGTACTGAAGTACTGTAGATCTTTGGCGTTTTCATTACGAAAACTAGAACATGGTTCTCGTTAACTAAATAAAAAGATACAAATTTTTTTTTGTATTTATTGCTATATAATATAATAGTATCCCTATATCGTTCTCACTGCTACAGTACATCGTTTGTCTCAAATAGAGATGCGCTGAGTACAAGTTTTACCGAGTAACCGAGTACCGAATATTACTCGGTTTAACATTTGCCGAGCCGAGTACTCGGCCGAGTTACTCGGTTCATTACAATCGGAACGCGATGATCCTAAAAGCCCACGTTGCTCTAGAATTAGGCCGATATGTTAATGAAAGTTTATGGGCGCGAGAGCTGAGTCCTTTCCAGTGGTGGGCAGATCATAAAACAAAATATCCAAAACTAGCACAGTTAGCACTAGTGTTTTTGTGTGCACCCGCAAGCACTGTGTATAGCGAGCGGTTATTTGCCGAAGCGGGTAATGTGTATGAAGAAAAAAGGAACAGACTATTACCTGAACGCGCAGAAAGCCTTGGAAAATATTCCTACATCATAACTTGCCTTTGTTAAATTGTAAATATTAATAATGTAAACTTTCTTTTTAAATTACTAATAAATCTCTTTTGAATATTTTAAATATATTTTTGATTTTACTTTATTATGTATATATATTATATATTATTATGTCATAATAATATATTATATATTATTATGTCTAGCTGTGATGCTTTATTTTATCCGAGTACTCTTCTCATGAAACGAGTTATTCGGCCGAGTACACGGAGTACCGAGTAGCAAACGAGTACTCCGCGCAACTCTAGTCTCAAATAACTTACATATTTATTTCTTCACACTGTTTTTACAAAAATCTAATTATCTCGAAAGTGTCATTTTGTGGGTTGGTTATAGTTTGCATAACTATGTCCAACTACATATCTCGTAAGTATCGTGCTCGACTGTAGACAGCCGATTATTACAATACAATGTAAATTAATTTGTCAAAACCATGTCAAAACAGAGGTTTGGCAACGTATCCAACGAACGCAAGCTACGCAGCAGAAGTTTTCAACGTTGCAATTTTACTAAATAATCAAGGACGCAAACAATAATTTCATTTTTGTTTTGAATACTTTGTGTTTTAGGTTCTAATCCAACCAAAAATATATTTTTTTTTATTCTCACCTAATGGTAAAAATTTGGCTTTTTTTAAATATTTCGTTTTGAGTTCAACGAATTGGTGCATTATATTTACTTATTTACGTATTTTTTTGTGTATGATATTTTTTCACACTGTTAAGTGCCCGTCCATAATTTGCAAGCAAATATTTAGCTCGTACTTTAGTAGGCGAAAGTTACTTTTTACTCCTAAATTTGTTATTTGTCTTTTATTGAAAAAAAAATAAAGTGTCAGGATCAAGATAAGTACCATTTAAATTACCACACCAAATTTGGTATTAAGAAAGTTTGGTTTGCCCGAGAAAAATATGTCAAAAAATAACCACCAGAGTCTCACTGTAATCCAGTTTTTGTATTACCTATGACAATAAGCAATATTCTAGAAATTTCAAGCTGCACTTCAAGATACGTGTTACCGTCTAAAAACTTACACAAAAACACCACCAAAAAAAACCACATCATCGCCTTAAAGTTTAAAATGAAAGTGAATAGACACTTTGTTTCGTTCTCAGTCACATGCAGCAATATCTCGGGGGTAATTCTATCAATCAAAACGAACAACTTTAATTCATAATCGTGAGACAAAAACCAAAATAATCCCTTTCGTCGAGTGGGTAGGCATTTAGTATAGAATAGCTGATCTTTGAAGGAGCTCTTTAGTAAAAGCAAGGACGCGTTCCCATTACGTTGTAACGTTTTATTTATCGTTAGACGACTGTTGAGCCTGTTTCCATATCACGACTATCTGTCGTGACTACACAGTCAGTGGTCGTTTATTTTATCGTTGAACGACTGTCGTATCTAGCTGTACCCACTAGATCGGGACGACAAATCGGTTTACGGCAGCCACCTTGTCGTTTGCACGACAGAATCGTTTGAAGCTGCGATTATCTACCGTCACATTTTGATCCTGACATTTTATTTATCTTCATACGACTGTCGTTCTAGCTCTTCCCGTTGTCACGACAGTACTCGTCGTAACGTCAAAAAGTCGTGAATGACAATTGATCGTGTTGTTCTGTGCGAACAACTTCATTTAAATATACAAGTCACGAC